TAATAAATAAAAAATAATTAGTGATTTTGTCGATTTCTGACGTCTTTTCTAGATTTATGAGTAAGCTTGATTACATTTTGTTTTAAGATCAATTTGTGGCATCTATCCATAATTTTATCGCGATTTAATCTGATTATGTAAACATTCAGCCTGAAAACGGCAATCCGACTAATCGCTGTCATGTCGGAGGCCCGTTAACCCTTTCTCGCGCCTGAATTAAAGGGATAGTTCACCCAAAAATGAAAATTTGATGTTTATCTGCTTACCCACAGGGCATCCAAGATGAAGGTGACTTTGTTTCTTCAGTAGAACAAATGTGATGATTTTTAACTTTAACCGTTGCAATCTGTCAGTCGTATAATGCATGGCAATGGTAACAAAATCTATGAGAGTAAAAAAAACATGCACAGACAAATCCAAATTAAACCCTGCGGCTCGTGATGACACATTGATGTCCTAAGACACGAAACGATCGGTTTGAGCCAGAAACCAAACAGTATTTATATAATTTTTGACCTCTAATACACCACTATGTCCAACTGTCTTTGAGCCGCGCACGGCATCCGGTGCGTGAGGTGTGTACGCGCTCTGGCGTAGTTTACGTTAATGGGTGTGTTGATATCCAGCCGAAGAGCAATCAAACATAACTTCAGGCGAGCAGGCTCAGAAGTTAGGAATACGTGGAAAGTCACCACTCCCGAATGAGTTCGCGCGAGAGAACGTAATCTTTTAAGTTTTAAGTCGGTTTGAACAATACGGATAAGCGCAAGTACCATTTTGATTAGCCGTCATACCTACAATGACTGTGCACTGTGTAAACAATGAGTGACGTATACGCGTGAGAGATCACTTCCGGCGCTTGCGTAAACTACACCAGAGCGCATACACACCTCACGTATCCCGTGCACGCATTCAAAGACATGGATGCCCTGGGGGTAAGCAGATAAACAGATAAACATCAAATTTTCATTTTTGGGTGAACTATCCGTTTAAAGTTTAGAAAACACATTTCTGGAAATATTATGTATTTTATTTAAACTCACCTGTCAGAGTGCTGTATTTCTCACATAGCAAGTGCTCAAAATGTACGTTTTAAAGCAGGAGTTGGGTCAGTATTAACAATAGGCTATGTTTTAGATGATTATTAATAGATGTTGTAATGTACAGGCTATTTTGTGTTTTAGATATCATTTACAATTTTGACGTATTTTCTAGATTAATGAGCGAGTTGGTTTGTTTTCATTTTGTTTTACGACTAATATTATGGCATTATTTTATTGCCATTTCGGTTGATTTGTTGTAAATACTCGGCCTGAAAACTGCGATAGATAATCTCTGAGGAGTCATGACGTCACGGAGGCTGTTGAACCCTCTCGCGGGCCCAAGAAAACACATTTCTGGTAATATTGTCTATTTTAATATGTTTTATTAAATAAATTCATCCGTCCGAGTGCTGTATTTGTAACATAGCAAGTGCTCAAAATTAATACTTTAAAGCAGTAGTTCAACCCAAAATTAAAATTCTGTCATTAGCATTTTGTTGCGATTTAGCCTGATTTGTTGTAAATATAACTGCGATCGCTAATCGCGTTGGAGTCATGACGTCACAGTCTGTTTAATTTTTAAAATAAAAAAATTAAAAATTTGCCTGGTATGCTCTCTCATCTTTTTAAGTGGGAGAACTTGCACAATTGGTGGCTGACTAAATACTTTTTTTCCCCACTGTATATATATATATATATATATATATATATATTATGAATTTATATTTATTTATTTATTTTTTTTTTACTTTAATTTAATTTATTTTATTTTTAACTCACCTGTCAGAGTGCTGTATTTCTTACATAGCTAGTGCTCAAAATCGACAATTTAAAGCAGTAGTTCAGCCAATATGGACAATTCTGTCATCTACTGCTGACTGAACTTTATCTGTAGATGATTTATCTGCTGTAATACGCTAGCAGCCCTCTTTAACGTTCTCCTTTGGCGTCTGTAGATTAGAGGAACTTGTAAACCAGTGGATTTGGCGGCAGGATTTCTGGCTTCCTCCTGGCGTCACATGGAAAGACCTCGCTGAAGGGACGGTGGACGGAGGTCGGCACCCCGTACCGCGCGACCTGCTCATCTCCCTGCCCTTGGCCCTGGGTTTCATCGCACTGCGGTTCGTTTTCGAAAGGTGCGTATCAGTATCACGTCTATATTCACCATATAAGATCATTTTAACATTAACCGGCGCAAACTGTGATTGGTAGCGTATCATTACTGTAAACACTAGCGGATTGGGTTACTAATACACGGTTTGGTTTCTCCTAAGGGTTTTCTCTCTAGTGCGCTTATTAGGACGCTTTCTACGTTTAACCGGGATGTATTATACAACAGTTCGTCTCTGAATGATTGAAATGAGGATATCAGTAGCTGTAGTTTAGTGTGTCAGTTCTGACAGAATGAAAGTGGAGCATTGTGTTCCCATGGTTTTGTTGTCAATATTTCCTTGTAACAAAAACCACTAATGCGGGCTGATATTTTTACACTGTCGCCATTGTGTTTTTGCAGCGACTGGATACTCAATGCACTTGTTTATTTTTTCTATTAAAGAACTGTTTGTTTATTCTGTTCATTTTTTTACAGACAATTTTTACTAAGAACTATTAGTTCAAATGGAAATCAAATGAAAGATGTATTGAAATTATACATTGTACAGAAGTTATTTAATATAAATATGTATATACAGTATGTATGTGTGTGTGTGTATAAATGTATGTTGTTTATATAATGTACATTTACATGTAATATATAAATGTATATACCTTAAATTTGTGTATTTTTTGACCTAATTTCTCATTATCGTAATCCAAACATAATCTTATTCTCATTTATTTATTTATTCTATTAAAAAATGCATGTATATTTTTAACATTATCATATAAAACATATATAAAGCAATACTATATAATTTTAATTAAGTACATATTTTAATTATGTATTATATAACTAAATAGTTAATTCAAAATGTAACAATTATATTTGAATAATTATTAATTTACCAAACAAATTAATAGATACATTTTTTTACATTAGTTTGATTTTTATCTTTGAGTTGTGTTTTCATTAAAGCATGAGGTTGGCAGGGTTATGTCTATTATATCATATTTCAGTATATTATTAAAATTAAAATTTAAAATGCATTATTATTATTAAGACATTAAATTAAAATATTCTTAAAAAAAACATATATATATATATATTTTTTTTTTGCATTACAGACACAATGACAGCCAATCAAAAGCTATTTAATATTTAATGCACAGTTAACAGAAGTACTATTATGGACCAATCAAATTCTCTGGTGGGCGAGGCTACGCAGCATTCTGCATAGCAATCAAACCTTCTTTCACATATCATATTAATTATGTCTTATTTCAGTTGGTTATGTGATGAAATCTGACCTCTTGGCCATTTATTCACTCTTATATTACAGAGTCATGAAGTTACTCTGCCGGTCTGGAAGAGCGAGTCAAGTGCAGACCTGCTGTATGTATATGTATCGCAGAAAGGGCGCGATTACCTCTGGCTTACAACGCCAGCTGTTTCTCACGTCGCTCCCTTTCTTGCCATTAACTCATCAAAAGCCGCCCAGTTCTGGCTGTACAGCGACTCGCGTTTGATTTAAAGATCTTGAGTTACAGACAGTGTCGGGTTTCGGTGAGCGTCGCGCCCTCGAGTGCCGGTGCATTGAGTCACGTTTGTCTCTGTCTGTGTGTTACAGGGTTGTGGCGCTGCCGCTCAGCCGGCGGTTGGGCGTCCAGGACAGGGTTCGGGTGCGTGTCACACCCGTCCTGAAGCTGGAGGCGTTTTACCTGCAGAAGAAGCAGCAGCCGTCACAGGTTAGTGAGTCACATGATCACCTGCCGTCTGTGACGTGTGATTTAATACTGGACATCCATACCAGAGGATATACTGTATATGTGTACAGCTGCTGAGCACAAAAACACTTGGGACTGTTTATTTATTAATCATAGCACTTCAATATTATTTCAACTTTTATCACATTTGTTACACTATTTTATTACAATATGAATCAAAATTCAAATATTATTGATAAAATTCAGCTTTGACATCACAGGAATAAATTATATTTTACAATATTACTGTTTTTTCCCCTGTATTTTGATCAAATAAATGCAGCCTTGATGAGCATAAGAAACTTCTTTAAAAAAATATAAACAATTGTAGAGATCCCAAACTTTTGACTGGTAGAGTATATATTATAAAAACATTTTTTTTGTGTATGAAATTATTATAGTAGGCCAAATTACAAAAAAATGCCATTAAAATAACCGTTTAATACATAGTTAAATAGTTACAAAAGCATTAAAAAATAAGTTTACGTTTCAGTAATTATTAAATCACCCAACACATTAATAAATGGCCTTTGTATTTCATTTTTCATTTAAAGCAGAAGATTGTGACATTTAATTTTTATATTTGGATACATTTTTCTTGGAAGCAACATTCATTGAACATTACATTTTCAGGGTTATGGTTATTATACTGCAGTTTATTTATAATATAAAATACAGCATAATGCAGGGCTCCAGACTGCGACCATTTTTTCTGCCGGTGCGAGTAAATTTTGTGTGCGGTCAACAACCACATTGTTCAGCTCGCGCTGCCATTTCTGTCGCATATGAGAAACATCAAACGGCAAACGAAACGAAAGCGTAACAAAATCGCGCTACTCGTTTGAGCTTGAACAGTGACGCAAACAAACTAGTCCGAGCTCAGAACAGCTTTACTCGGGAACCAAAGTTGATTTCGCGACACTGTTATTGCAACCGCACGGCGCTGCAAGATCCAGTGAGAAGCGTTTGAATGCACTGCAGAATGAATAAAGGTTGCTGCAAGATTTACTGAGAAGCATTCAAATTCTGCACAGAAAGCTCTGTTATAAACAGATCAAACGGCGCTGACGCAGAAAACCAGAAGCGGTAATGCTAACTGTAACCATGAGGTTGTGGCAGAAATAGTCGAATGTTATTACCATATTGGCCTGAATGTAAGATGACCCTGATTATAAGACGACCCCCCCTTTTTCCAGATGTACCTTTTGGAAAAATACTTTTTAAAAAGCAAATCTTGTTTTTTCTCAGTAAAACACATTTTGTCTTCAATTACATATTGCATTACATATTGAACAATGCAATTCAATTTCATATTGCATATTTTTCCTATTTTAATTTTTGTTTTTAAAGTATGGTAAAAACTGGTAAAATGTACCAACAATCACATTTAAAAAAGATACACTTTTTGATATACCATAAAAAAAAAAAAACAGGTAGCCCATCTGAAGCAGGACATTTAGGCTATCCATCTAATAGTAGCCTACCAAAATCTTATTAACAGTAGAAGTTAAATCTTACTGTAGTCTTCAAATCTGGGTACTGTCTTACGTTTTAAAATCACAAAGAGAGTTTGGTCCCATCAGGCTAACGTGACCGTCACGACTCGTGCAGCTGTAAGCTTTTCTTATTCTTTAGTTTTTACTCGTGATCTTTACAACACGCATTACATTACATATTTCATGGCACTCTCGTTTTATGCGTATTTGGCGCCACCTATTGTTGTGGGTGTATTATTGACGTGTCAAAGTCTAGACCCTGAATATAAGACGACCGCGTTTTTTCAGATGTATTTCCAAGAAAAAAACATCGTCTTATATTCGGGTCAATACGGTACATTATTCATTCCAGGGTTTGTGCAACCTTTTGAGAGAGAAATTCAAGCAATTTTCAGTAGATGCATTTCCATTACAGATTTGCGCAAAACTTTGGCGATATTTTCTGAATGTCGATAAAAAAGTATTGCGAAATGATGGCGTTTCCATTAACCAATGTTATGCGGCTAAAACGTAACCTTTGCCTCTCGCGATAAGTCATGGCAACGGATTTTGGTGGGATTTTGACGGATTTTGGCTATATTTATTCAAAGGAGGCTTATGCGTGTATCTTTACAGAAGCAGCAAAGAGAGCCGCTTCAGAAACGTGCGTGGCACGGCTGGAATAAACCATAGCCTGTATAAAAACATAAACACAAGCGCTGAGTGGCCGTAATCAGCTTCAGTGACCGTATCAGAGCCACACTGCACCGCAGACGTGTGCAATGTAAATTGTCTTAAGTATTAATAGTAGGGAAAGCCCCTTATACTGGAGCGCGGCCACTTATGAAGTGTTTCTTGGAGGTTATAGTACGTTGAAGATTGATCATATGACTTTTTACATACTCCATTTGACCTGTAAATGCGAAAAAGCCATTTCCATTGCAGTTTTGCGAATTAATCCTTTTTCGCATTGCTTGAAAAACCACCTCATGCGAGCGTAAAAACTTTTTTGCGATATATGGCAGTTTTTGCGAAATTGACACGTTTCCTAGTGTCTTGAAACGCGCCTAGTGACTTACAAGCATTTCACACAACTGTTGCCAGCACTTTAAAGCTCCTAAATGATCCAGTTTGAATGCTATTTTCAATGGGATGACCTAAATATACTGCGGTGAACAAACACTTATGAAAAATTAAAAAAATACATCAAATCACCATTATAACCTGTAGATGGCAGCAGAGGAGCACTTATTGGCTTATTAGTTATTCATTTCTACCTTTTCCTTTATATTTTAAAATGATAAAATCACCATTATAACCTGTAGATGGCAGCAGAGGAGCACTTATTGGCTTATTAGTTATTCATTTCTACCTTTTCCTTTATATTTTAAAATGATAAAATCACCATTATAAAATATCAAATCATCAAGAAATCAGATTTTGTCAGAGTTTCACTCTTTTTTTTGTTTTTAAAGTAAAAAAACGCCAGAGTGCTTTGTAAAACAAACTTTTCTTCAATTTGCGACTAAATCACACGTAATCACTGAAGTTGTTGGTCGGTTTAATGTAAGACTATAGAAGAATAATGGTACATTTAATAAGAGTACAATATATATATCTTTTCTACATAAAAATTCGATTTTGCACATGTTACTGTTGTTAATAAAATACATTTTGTAAGCTTGCCAACTCAACTTTTTGACATACAAGCCGATTTTGACATATCAACAAATTAGTTTCAAAATATAATACAATGAAATCCTAATTTTAGTTTTCCCGTGTCTGTGTTTGTTTGTTCAGAGTGATTTGCTGGTTCTGGAGAAGCACTGTGGACTCTCTCAGCGTCAGATCCAGACCTGGCTGCGTCAGCGCCGAAACCAGGACCGGCCCGGAAACACCAGGAAGTTCTGTGAAGCCTCGTAAGCCTCTGAAGCCTAACCCACAGCAGACATCTGTGATTGATTGTGTTTGCATTTGATTAACATTAGGGATGCACCGATATGAAAATTTTGGCCGATACCGATATGGTGGCCGATATATCGTGCATCCCTAATTAACATGAGCTTTCCTGTGTGCTTGCTCAGGTGGAGGTTTGTGTTTTATCTCATGGCGTTCTCAGCTGGTCTCGTCTCGCTCATTAATGTGAGTATCTCCATAATGCTGGCGTTTCTCAGTTCTCTCCTCAGCATCATGCTCACGTTTGGAAATACATGTAATCAAATATTGAGACGTTCTCGGGGAAAAAAAGTTGCCATTCGTGCCTGACAATTTCAGAAAATTGTTTTATTTTGACCGTTTCATTTAATATTATTTTAATAATAACAATAATAATATATTTGTGTGATTATAATATTTTGGCTTAAATATGTATTTTATTTTAAATAAAATAAAACATTTACAGAAATACAATAAAAGTAAATAAAATGTAATAAACACAGACTTTTATGATTTCTTAATATTATCTAATATATTTAATACACCACAACTTAGTTATATTATGAATGAAAAATTTGTACTTGTAAAATAAAATAATAATAATAGATTTGTATTATTTCTTAATAATGTCTAATATACCTAATACACAAAAATGAGCGGTCCTATAATAATAATAAAAAAATTGCGCATTTTACTCCAAAGTGAAAAAGATAATAATTATTATTATTATTTGTTTTGTGTCATTTTTTGCTTAAATGTTTTTAATAAAATATTTAGAGATATATATATATAATAAATTAATTTAATAAAAGTAGATTTACATTAATTCTTAATATCTAATACACTTAATACACAAAGATTTGCAGTCCTATATTTAACACACAAAAAATTACTCCCCAGTAAAAAAAAATATATATAATCAAATTTAAAATAAAATATTTATAATGATGTAATAAAACAAATACAATTTATTTTTTTATTAATTCTTTATAATATCTAATACACTTTTCAGTAATACACTAAAATGAGCAGTCCTATATAAAACAAAACATTTGGTGCATGTTACACTAAAATAAAAATAAAGTATTTGATAATATTTTAGATTTTTTGATAATTTTTATTTCTTAATATCTAATACACTTCACACACAACAATTAGTAGTCATATAATGAATGAAAAATGGGTGCATGTTACTCCAAAATAAAAAAAGAAAAGAAAAAACAAAGTATTTTCTTCATCAAGACTTGCGCATTCAAACATATACAGTCACATGCAATAATTTTTGTCAAATGGTGTTTTTCAGACTCCGTGGTTTTGGGATCACCGGGAATGCTGGCGCGGATACCCGAGACAGGTCCGTAACAAACGGCTCTCCACACACATTCACTTCCTGCAGAACAATCCCAGGAACTAGTGAGCGCCGCACCCCACGATCCGATCAAAACAGTCAAGACTTATCTCACGAGAGCCAGAATCATCTGCGAAATATTACAATAAAAACTCTTCAGGTTTCATTTGTTCTCAGAAACTAGTTGTTAACTAGATATTTGTACCTTGTTACCTTTCACTTGATTATTGGTGCGTTTTCCAGATGCTATTATTTGTGATTTGGTCTGCAGGCCGTAGCAGAAGCTCAGTACTGGTATTACATCGTGGAGTTGTCCTTCTACCTCTCGCTTCTGCTCTGCGTATCGGTGGACGTAAAGCGCAAAGTAAGTTTCCTGAAATTTTGTGTGACATTTCCTTCGAAAGATGAATTGTGCGTATTTGTTTGTTTCGGTTGTGCAGGACTTCCAAGAGCAGATCATTCACCACATCGCCACCATTTTCCTCATCGCGTTCTCGTACTGCGCCAACTACGCGCGCGTGGGAACGCTGGTGATGCTCGTCCACGACTCTTCTGACTTCCTGTTGGAGGTAAATCTGATTGGCCGATCTGTCAGCTTCCATTATACCATCATGGATGTAGAGCTCAATGAAATGTTTCCTTTTTTTCACAAATTCCATGTTTTTCTGTGTTCATCTTTCTGGACTCCCTTTAAATGGTTAAATTAAATGACATTACATTTTAGTCGTGAAAGCGCATTTCTAATCGATTGAAATCATGAAACCTATACAACTTAAGAACAATCTATTAAAAGTTTTACAAGCATTACATTTTTAGGGTCCTGTGAAATACATTTAATTTCCCCCCACTAATTCTGTTTATTTTTAACAAATTCTGTTATTCTATAAATTTTTTGGATTACCTTTTAATGGTTTAATTAAAGATTATTCATCAAAAAACATGTCAAATTAAGTAAATTCAATAAAACTATTTAATACATTTTTTAGATAAAAACTTTTTAATAGGGCACTATGAAATCTTTTGTTTGTTTGTTTTTCAGAAATTATGATCATTATCATAAAAAAAAAATTAGTGCTTTTTTTAAATAAAAAAATTAATTTCTGGTAAATAAATGAAGGCATCAAACATTCATTTCATTTATCCTTTAATCAAATGAAATTTAAAACAAACCTTTTTTTTGGCAAACAAAGTGCTCCTCAACTGAGGATTATTGTTAAAATGAAAACCTGGACGAAAAATTGTGATTATTCATGTTTGCTATCTTTGTTAATTCGCAAAGTCCACGTAAGGTAATTGGAGTTCATTGCATTAGTTTTTAACACATCAATACTGAAAAACAGGATTCTGAGAGTATTTATTTTAGAAGATGTTTCATGTTCTTTTTGCTCATGGGGTTAATAAATACCAGAAAATACATTATGGATGTATACACACACACACACACACACACACAGAAAGCTCATCTTATTGAAACAGAATAAAGTACATAAATGACTTTGACTTATACAAGTATATATATATATATAGATAGATATATATGAGCAATATCACTCAACTACTTCCTTCCGCCACGGATTCAAAGCTCAAGACAGTTAAACATACGTCACTTTTAGAATTGGTATCGAGGGCATGTGCTGCTTCAGTTAGGTTATTAGTGAGAAATAATGAGGTTATAAGAGAAACAATGCGGCAAGACGTGCATCCAAATGAGAGAGAGAGAGACCATGAAGCTTGACGTTTCTTCTTATATTAACTAACGTACTCTACGATTAGCTCAGTGAATAATAAAAAAAACCATAGACCCGGCTAGAACAAGCGGAGTGATACAAAATTGTGAAAGGGCGTTCCTGTAGCGATACCAGTACAATATCTCACGGTTCTCAACCAATCAGATTTGAGAACCAGAACGAACTGTTGTATAAAAAGAAATAACTAATGCTTTGTTTTTGCTTGATTTGCAGTCTGCTAAGATGTTCAATTATGCTGGATGGAGAAAGACCTGTGATGCCTTGTTTGTCTTTTTCGCCGCCGTATTCCTGGTAACTCGCCTTGTGGTGTTCCCATGCAGGTAAGAACTTCATTTCATTTAATGCTGATTTCAGATCATTTTGAATGGGTCTTCTCAAATCTAAGACGTTTGCATGGCTAAAATCTTCTTACGATTTATAAACTGTATTTTGGTTTATTTCCAGAATCGTCTACACAGCTGTGGTGGATTCGTTGGACGTCTTTCCTCCGTACTCTGGTTATTATTTCTTGAACGGCCTGTTGCTGGTTCTTCAAGCCCTGCACATCTTCTGGGCTTGGCTGATTCTTCGAATGGTTCACAAATTTGTCTTTTTAGGCAAAGTGAGTATCTTAAGTTGTAAGTTTATAAATGATGTTATCCCTCAATTTTCGAACAAACATGTTTTTAAGGTGGAACGCGATGAACGGAGCGATGAAGAGAGTGAGGCTGATGAAGAGGAAGAAGAAGATGGAGAAGAAGATCACAGCTGGGAGCAGAAAAAGGGTGCCCTTAACTCTAAACTGGCGTCGTTGGCCAGTAACTGTGTTCTGAACAATTTAACGAATCAGAGGCGAAAAATTAATAGCAGAATGCCGAAAGCCAGATAGTAATGCTACTTAATGTATTTAAACTTGTTAAATCATCTCCAACTTTCTTGGCTTATCTTGTTTATCATGGTCCTACAGTAATTTCAGACCGCTGATGTTTTGTTTTCCTGAAAACATAATGCATAGTCAGAAGATTGCATTAAAAAAATAGTTTGTATTATTATATTACCATTGGAGTATATTGGAAATAGGTTCAACTTCAATTCATTTGTTTAAAATTAGTATAATTAATTATAGTGCATTGGCTGAGTAGCACTTAAACTCAGATTAAAAAGTTTGCATAGATAAAAATGGTTCATAAACAGACATCTTGAGTATTTAATTGTTGAATAATTCTGCAACTGTTCATTATGGAAGAGTGATATTTAAATAAAAAAAATGAGTCGGCTCTCCTGACTAGAGAGACCCACAACATTTAGATGCATTCTTTTTAAATACTTTTGTATTGGTATAGGTATTCTTCTAAGTTGTGTGGAAATGTGTGAATTTTCTGCAGTGGCTGTTGTTTTCAAAATTGGCATTGGTGGACCACTGGGAAAGACTTGCGGTGCCATCTTGTGTGAAGTGTCCACTTGTCTTAGTGATTCTGCTACTGAAAGATTTTGTTGCAAGAAACTACTGGAGTTTGTTAGATGGCACTTTGGTTGTGCTTTTGGTTGCCTTACCAAATGAGGAATCAGATGATATCTCACTGGAGCATGTGCCTCGAGCCTATGTAGGCCCCTTGATTTATATAATCTGCTCCAAGGGCTGAAGGCAAAGTGTTCTTGTTGTTCTAGATGGTTCTAGAAAGTTTATTGGCACAGTAGCCATAACTGACCTTTCGTTCCAAAGCTGTGCATCTGTCTTTCACTGTTTAAATGGTTTTTTTTTTTTAAACCTGTGATTGTTTTTGTATTAATTTTCCTCTTTTTTTTATTGGGATTTACCATGTTCTGAGTTTGTTAATGCAACATTTTGTCAGAAGACAGAAGAGGGATATATTCTTAGAATCTTAAATACTGTTAATGTTGCATACTTGCTTCTCATTCGACATTTTTCTCTGTGACCTTTTGAATAACAATAAAAAAGTTTTAGAATATGATTATCCTCAACGTTGCTGAACAAAATGTTCCTGCATTGGTTTAATACTTGTCCTCTGACTTAAAGAAGGAATAGTGTTGACATTATGGCTTTAGAAAGGATTGACATGCATTGTGATACAACCTCTTATGGGGGCAGGACAGGGTTAGGTTAGGGTTAACCCTAACCCATTTTATCATCAACTTCCAAGCGAGTGTCAATGTAAGGGTCCAGTAGAATCATGTTTGGGTATGTTTTGTTTATCTTTCCCTCGCTTATTATGTAAATCTGCCCGTTAACTGTGGCACAGCCTGTGAAAAATGTATTGTCCAGACTGTCCTCTTGAAGAACGGTCCACTCGTCTGTGTCAGTGTCTAAGTGCAGAGCCTGTCCTCCCAGTAGATAGAGAGCACCATTGAGCTCTGTTGCAAGAAGGTCATAACTGGAAAAGAAGTACACATGTATCCAATAAGAATTCACTTTGGTTTACCAAAGCGTATAGAACTGATACAGAGCTATTTGTGGTGGCATCTTTGAAAAGTATTGCCTTAAAAAGAGTGGACAACATTGGCTCTTGAGTTTAGCTCCAACCCTAATCAATCACACTTGTGCAATTTTCAAATAATCCTGTTAAATGTTTTAGATGCATTAGGGGTTGGAAGTAAAATCTGCAGGGCAGTTGACCTTGAGGGCAAGACTTGCCCAAGCCTTGCTTAGAACAAGTTAGTCCCAACTGTGTCTACTCACCGTGGGAATAGAGAATAGGACACCACATCCCATTGATCAGCCTCTGGCCTGTACCTCTGAATCCCACTGTAAACATCCCCATTCTCATCTAGACCACAGGCCACGTAAATACTAGTCCCCATAGTGACAATGACTGCCCTTTCCACAGCCCGGCCCTTGGGGCTGATGGTGTCCCATTCCTTGGCTCCCAAAACCAGCTTCTCGGCGTCAGCCACAGGCCCCTCACCCATGCTACCACCAAACACAAACAGCTGGAACTCCAGAGCCGCTGAGCAGTGGCTGTGTCTGGACTTCTGCATTGCCGGGCCGTCCACCCATCGCTTGTTGCCATGCTCGTAAATGCTCACCCAGTCCACACTATACCATAACACATCCTGGAAGTAGCCTCCAGGCACTACTATGTTGTCCCTTTAGAGCAAGAAATTATATTTTAGATGGTGTGGACAGTTAGACAACAAAGGCAAAATGCCCAATTCTGTTTCTGGAGATCTACAGTACTTTCATGCAAAGGTCAGCTCCAGTCCTAGTCAAACACACCTGAACAAGCTCATTAAAGGGGCTTACACACCATGATTCCACTCCAATATATACACAACATATATTGGAGCACTGAATGTAGGTCTCCAGAAACAGGATTCGGCACTCCTGACTTAAAAGTTTTGTTTTGGAACACGTACCACCTGATCGGGCATGTTCCAGGTAGGTCATTAGGCGCTTTCGCACCGCGTAGTTCTAGGAACTAGCCAGCAGGGTCGTTCCTAGAGAACCAATCTCCTCGGGCCATTTTCCTGGTTGCATTCGCACTGGCAACAGGAACTCTGAAGCGACCGACAGCGACGTCTTTATTCATGGCATTTACAAACATCAACCACTGGTGAATGTGATGTGACCGGAGCTCTTTTTGTTGTGTGTCATGGGTATCGTGATAACAAAGATTTAATGTAAACGCACAATTTACGTGATAGAAAGAGCATGAAAATCAGACAAAATCTCCTATGACAACTTGCAGTGTTATCATTGCGGCTGAGAAAAGAACACAACGTTGCAGACAACAGGTAAATGCCATTATCATTGGTTTCCATGTTTATGTAGTAAATATTTTTACATGGCTTTTTAAAAATGCCGGGCAGCCAGTGTTTCGTATGCGGTTGGCCAATCAGCATACACTTACATCACTGGTAGTTCCTATAGAACTGTTCTAGACCCTACACTGAAGTAGGAACCAATTTAGTTCCCGCAAATGGAGTTCCTAGAACAAATATGTTACTAGTTCTGAAAAAGCTTTTGTGAATATTTATGGCAATATCTTTCAAGGATAGTTGAGTTATATATGGCTGGCATTAGTCTAAACATCAGGGCTTATAATGTGTATGTATGCAAGTTTTGTCAAGTCAATACCACAATAAACCACCAGGGGTAGATAGTGGACAACTAAACATCTTTAACCCATACAGTATGTAGTGTATACTACTTTGGGAAATGCTGATTAATTTTTTTGTGGTAATTATTTATATAGCTCAAGAGATAAAGGAATTCACTTGAGAAACCACTGTGTGGAGTTTATTGTATTTAAAATAAAAACACCTGGGATTTTGTGATCTTATCACTATTGTTTTAAGATTTGCTTTGGTGAAGCATCTAAGTTTGTTATGTGTACGTCTCAGAACTTTGACTTGTCACTCCTATACATCCAGAGCATTGCAACCAAAAAAATCTTGGCTGTGGTTTTGTGGTCCAACTTCCTTAATCCTGATATGTGTCTTTGTGCTCTCCTGACCACTGCCAAAAACCAAGGCTTGGAAGTATGGACTCGGCTGGGCCAAATGACCATGGTTCACAAACAACTCTCTCTCTCCACCTGGAGCACTACGTCAAGTGTGTGTCGTAGACACCATCCTGATCTTTCTCAAAAAAATCTTTCTCTGTGCCTAAGCTGAGATCATAAGTACCTATTTCTTGCTGAATAAAAATTTTTGGTTTTATTTTGGAATTTTTTCCAGCGCTGTGGTCCAAGGTCCTTAATCTCAGCATGCATCCTGGTGCTCTGCTGACCACGGCAAAAAAAAAAAAAAGCCTTGAAAGTAGGGACTCAGCTGGGCCAAACGCTCACGGTTCACAAAATACAATTATCCCTCTATCTGGAGCACTATGTCAGGAGCAATAACGACAGAAACCTGATCCTCCTCAACTAAATCTTTCTCAGTTTCTGGGAAAGCTCTGGTCCAAATTCTTGTTTTGTCCAAGTCAATACCACAACAAACCACAAGGCGTAGATGTTGGACAACTGAACATGTCTAATCTATATGTAGGGTATATTACTTTGGGAGTTTACTGCTTTTGAGAATTGTGTGGTATGATCTTGTCATATAATGAAATTGACTTTCATAGTATTTTTTTTTCTATACTATGGAAAGCAATGGCTACCGTTACCTTTTTGGTTACCAACATTCTTCAAATGTCTTATTTTGTGTTCAACAGAAGAAAGAAATTGAGGGTGAGTAAATGATGACAGAATTTAGATTTTTGTTAAACATGCCCTATCAAATAACAAATAAACTTGAAATAAAATCGAGTTAATTAGCCAACTAGATTGTCACATATCAACTATCAATGCTGTTTTTTTTTTTAACCAAAAACTCATGATTGTAGACGTTATCGACAGTTCTTATTTTAAACATGGGTTTAAAGATACTAACATACCCATGCAGCGCAGAAAATTTGGTTTATTTTTAATATTAATGGTTTGATGTAGGGGAACAGATGAGTTGAAAAGTAGTTTGGTGACGGCCACTGCATAAACGTTGTATTTCACACAGTAGAGGCTAATAATGAAAGAAAAGTAAACACTAAATATGACATAACATGGCATAAAGTAGACACCATATTTAATTTGACATATTTCCAAAATTGTTCCAGTGGAGAAAACGCAACAAAAATGGTACGACATGTTGAAAAGATGTATGTCTATCCATCAAAGGCTTGTTTTGGTGACAAATTAAATTTGGCATCTACTTCGACTGAAACGTCTCATTATTAATAATACTGAAAAACAATTGTGAGAAATGAGCGATGACCTTGAGAGTTTTTGGCAGGGTTTTAACTGTGATAAATAAAACCTCACTAGACGCACACAGCAGAGATAGCAGCAGAAACCAGACATACAACGCACACCTCGTCGTAAAGGATCGGCTATATTGATAAAAAAAAATTTAGTTTTAGCTGTGCTGATTATAACGTCACATCATGGCTTCAGTTTAAACTCCATGAAAATCATGGAAGACCAGTCGACGTCCAATTCGCTTTAATGCACACATGCACACGCAACATGCAGCCTAGCACTTGCATTCTCTCCGTTGCCATCCTCCGAGTGTCGTCACGTCTAAACGGTTAACGTTCACTCATCGTCAAAGTTCTGCTGGAGCAGGAAGTTCGCGGCGAGGTTTTCGTTCTTCTCGCAGGCGAAGTAGGCTTGGATGACGAGCCCTTAACTAGAAAACAACGCAATTTTATAAAATGTTAAAACATGTTATGTGAAATGACTGTTCGTTCAATCATTTTTAATTAATTATTAAAATTAAAATATAATTTTTACAATTTTTTTGTATTGTATTCTATTTGAAAGTTTATTTTATTTCAAATAAGAATTTTTGTTAACCCTGACATTTTGTATAAGATACAATTACATTGTGTATGTGTATAAAGTTTATTTTTTGTGGAAATGTTAAAATGCACATTATAAATGACTTAAAAAGCTGAGTAATTACCAATATAAACATTAAATTAAGATAACAGTTATTTGAATTTGAATAGATTAAAATACAAAATAATTAATAAACAAATTTATAATAAATTATTTTCAATTCACAAATGACTACATAACCATTAGAATGCAACAATAATAAAAAAAATAAATTATGCACATTTTATTCAAAAACAAAAAAAAGTTTAAAAATTTTTAAAAATCATTTAATGTATATTTAAATAATTGTAATTATTTAAACATATCTAATAATTAAATATTAACAATTTAATTATTTTATACACACACATATATATATACATATACATACACATACACTACCGTTCAAAAGTTTGGGATCAGGATGACTTTTAAATGTTTTTTACAGGAGGTTCTTCTGCTCATCATGGCTGCATTTATTTAAAATGCAGCTGCATTTATACAAAAATACAGGCTGCATTTTTGGCTCATCATGGCTGCATTTATACAAAAATACAGGAAAAATACAGGAAAAAATTTTATATTGTGAAATAGTATTACAAGGTAAAATAAAATTTTTCTGTTTTAATATACATTAAAATGTAATTTATTCCTGTGATCAAAGCTGAATTTTCAGCATCATTACTCCAGTCTTCAGTGTCACATGATCTTCAGAAATATTATAATATGCTGA